CAGCAAGGCAGGCAGGCGCGGTACTCCATGGTTATTGTACTTGCTAATTCCCGGTGTAATTACACACACCGGTGCGGTGCTGGACCCTCCTTCTCCTCCTCCTCCCGCGCCGCCCTTCATTACGACGCAATTCGCGAGCTAACCAAGGATGCCCTGCCCGGAGGTATCCACGCCCCCGTACCAGAAAAAGCATCGACCCAGAGGGTATGACTGACAAGTGTAAATTACAGATAGATGCACAATGCAAATAACTCGACTTCTTCTTCTTCTTCTTCTTCTTCTTCTTCTTCTTCTTCTTCTTCTTCTTGTCAACAGCTGAGAATATAATCAATGGGTTATTCTCTCATTCTACAGCTGTATTTGTAAACACATGGCACGCCATGCGGAGTCCTTCATTCTACCTACGTGAACAACTGAACATAATGGGTACTGGTATATGCCTACGCTTCTTCAGCTAGTTCTGGTTCAGATGGTTTCCACAGCGTCCCGGCAGGCTCATCCATCAAGGCGATGCCGCGGGCAGAGAGCTCCGCCCTGATCCGGTCCGACTCCGCAAACTCCTTCCTCTTCCTCGCAGCGCTTCTCTGCTCAATCACCTGCTGCAGCTCCTCTTCACTCATCCCTGCTCGCTTCAGCGCCCTCTCCTTCAGTTGCTTCACCACCTACAAGTTTTGACCATTTTTGTTGATTCTCAGAACAAAAATAATTCAACATATATATCTTCGACCCCCAGAAAAGACTAGTGGCAACAATAAATAAATAATATCAATCAAGACCAATAAATTTACCTCAGCCAAGGGCGATGACGGCATCAAGCCAAGAATAGACAGTTTATTCGTGACTTCGCCGTGCAAGGCAACCAGAGCTTGTACATAATGTTCCTCTTGTTTCTCCTCGGGCTGTTTCTTTTTCTGCTGCTGCTGCTTCTTCTTCTCTGGCTCTTTCTTCTGCTGCTGCTCCAGTTTCTGCTGCAATTTCTGACAACACAAGTACACAACACACTGTCAGATGAGTTTTTTTTTTACAGCACTATCAGATGAGTTACTTTCCTTTCATTCCCAGTAGCACAGTTCAATGCTCATCAACTGCAAAACTAAAGATGCAGCGTAAATACCTTCAGATCACTCAAGTTGTTGTTCATTGCTCTCACTGGCTTCATAAGCTCGTCAAGGGCGCCTGTGGTATGAAGATCGTTCGACATGTGTCTCAGGAAACTCTCGTGGTTGTCGTCAACCACCTTGCGATCGCCTGCTGGTACTGGGACGTCCAACTCATCATCATGGTACAAGGATATAACCTCTTGAGAGTCTTGTAGAGTCTGGGTAAATAAATTGTCCAAGGAATTACAACACGACAGTTCAAATCTATATAACTCGGATAAAAATAGGGAGCATCCTGACATTAAGTTTGCAAACATTAAATACCTGATAGATGTAGTACACACGGCCAGATGCAAACTCAAGGCCTACATCAGAGTGGTTAACATCGGACCTGTAGTGTGTTCGCATCAGGAATAGCCTGAGAGCCATTGGATGGTACAGAGCGATAACCTACAGCGACAAGAACAAAATGGTCAGCCTCGGCTACAAACAAATGATATACTCCTCGTCCCAAAATAAGTGTCTTAACCTTAGTACAACTTTGTACTAAAGTTAGTACAAAGTCGAGACACTTATTTTGGGACGGAGGGAGTATATTTTAACTGGAAAGCATACTGCTAACAGAAAAAAAGCCCCTTACATCTCTGATAGTGAAGAAGTTTTTGTCTGCTTTTGCCATCTTCTGGCCATTGTTGTTGACAAAGCCATTATGCATCCAGCATTTGACCTCGCTCTCAGGATTCGCTGCTCTGCTTTGTGCGAGCTCGTTCTCATGATGTGGAAAGATCAAATCTTTTCCTCCGCCATGAATATCAAACGCATGGCCTAAATAATGCCCGCTCATTGCACTGCACTCAATATGCCATCCTGGTCTTCCACGGCCCCAAGGGCTTTCCCAGAATGGCTCACCCTCCTTCGCAAACTGAACAGAAAATGTGAAGGATAATTAAGCACTTGACTAAAGGCAACAATAACAAAAATTAACCACAAAGTAAAAAAAAAAAGGTAAAATAGTAAGCACCTTCCATAATGCAAAGTCAGCAGGAGTGCGCTTTCTTGTATCGACAGCGACTCGTGAACCCGGAAGATTATGGTCTAAGCTCCTTCCAGACAGACTAAGATATTCAGGGAAATTATCAACTGAGAAGTATACGCCGTCTCCTTCAATAGTATAGGCTTTCCCTTTTTCCTCTAGCTGTCATTTGCATATACAAGTAGAAGATAGTTGTTAATGTCAAGCCAAATGATATGAATTATGGAACCGGTAAAAGTAAACAACTTAGATTTTATGCCCTCTTGCGCAATGGGGAAGTTAAACAAGCAACTACTGAAGGTTTGATTTCATGGAATGGGTGACAAGCACAGATAAGCAAATTGATCAGTTATCCTTCTATATTGGTTTTTATTTTCCCTTATTGTAGTTGCACAGTTTTTTCTTTTTGGAGGAAATGTAGTTGAGTACCTTGGTTATCAAATCTATTATCTGCTTAATGTGCTCCGTCACACGTGGCTCGCGAGTAGGAGGCAAGCACTGAAGTTCAACCATGTCACGCAGGAACTCATCGATGAACCGACTACTCAAACTAGTTGCCGTTTCACCAGCTTCATTTGCTCGTCTAATAATCTGCATGCGAAAAACGGCAGTTCAGAATTGACTATCTCGTGCATTGCATGCCCCCAAGATATTGAAAATGACTTTCAGTAGGATGCATTTCAGAACATAGTTCAGACATAGAAAACTATTTTAATGGGAAATTTGCTCCAGAAGTGAGTTTGAAACCCATTAAAACCTAAGTTACCTAAATTTCAAGAAATAATTTGATGGACGATAAACAGAAGATAGAATATGTACTCCATTATAACAAAACAGGGAATTAGGCAAATACAAAGACATCAGTTTCCACTTGAGTGCATAATAGTACAGGAATTCCTAGAGAACAAGCTAGGTACACTGTATATTATTTTCAGGTATAGCGTACATTCATCCAACATGACCAAAAGTTTCCATTAGACAGTTCTTATTATTTTACTCAACAAATTAAGTCTTTTCTCAAAAATTTATCAATGATTTATTACCTTGTCATCGATATCAGTGAAGTTGCGCACATACTCAACCTCGTAACCCAAGTACTTTAGGTACCTGAATGAAAATAAATTAAGATGATAAGCGCAACGACATAACAAACTCGTATGTACCATTCCCTCAAAGCATAGACCATATGAAGCGTTGTTAAAAGAGCGTATCATTGGAAGTTTAGAGCAAGCATCAAGGTTCAACTATCGAAGATAACACCGCATCTTGTTCAGAAAGAAAGAAAACAGAGCGTAAAAATATAACCCTCAGAAGTCTTGACAATTAACAAAATTAACCAAAACAAAAGGCATGTACGAAAACAAGGACTAATCATATATTGTATAACTAAGTAGTTGATCCCACTGACATATTTATCTCATCATTGCAACTATGCATGGGAAAAGGCCCACCTCAACATGCAACCATGGATGAAAAAAGGCTCAAATGTTTAATTATATTATGCTACTTGGATTCAACACATGCTTCATAATTATATGTATTTCAGTTTTAGGCTTATGTTATCAATCCAAACATTGAATTTTTTTTAGAAAAGGGGGAATACCCCCGGCCTCTGCATCTGGACGATGCATACGGCCAATTTATTAATTATTAACACAAGACCTTACAAAGTCGTACAACAGTAAGACCAAAGCCACCATCTCAGCAACCTCTGTCGCTACTCCTATCTAACTGATGAAGGGGCGCTGATGGTCTGGGCCTAATACCAAACAGACCTCGCAGCCAAACCTAACATCTAAGACCTGAGGTCCCAACCAGGACGCCTGCCAGGTATGGGCACCCACCAGTCCGGCGTGCTCCTCAACCAGGACGCCTGCCGGGTATGAGGCCGCCACAACCACCTGCCACATATCCATCTTCAGAGATGTACTGTTGCATCGGCCTTGCTCGGTCTCGCTGCCGCCGACGCCACCACGACGCCAGACAGCATCGACCTCCTGCGCGTATCCGTCACCACACATCTGACGCCAAGCCTCCGCTGCTCCATGCCTCCAAGAGTCATCGCCAAGAATATGTAGAAAGAAACACCGTCCACCGAAAGGGAGGCAGCACACCCCCACCCCTCACCTGCAGACCCTCCCATCCGATCCCAATGTCCTTGGCGCCACCTCCAGGAAGTTTACGGTGCACGGGGAGCCGCCGACGCCCGATCCGCATCGGATCTTGGGCTTTCACCCGGACATGGGTCGGAGTGGAGAGATGGTGCCCAAGGAGGAAACCGGCGCCAAAAGGCGGCGTCGCCGCTGCCGGCCAGCCAAGGCGGCCAAGGTTTCCTCGGACACCGATATGCTCCACCAGAATACACCGGAGGTGGATCCAAACCGAACCGGGGACTGAGAAGGGATGCATGGAAGGGAGGGGCAATACCTCCAGATCTGGCACGCCTGCGGCTCGCCGTCCTCGCGGCCGAACCCTCAGGCACGCCGCACGCCACGCCAGCAGGGGCCGCCGCCCTGGATCTGATGGTCTCCGTGAAGGAGCGCCGAAGACCCCGCCACCACCTTCCCCGGCGCCCGCGCGGGCTTTCCCGGCGGTCATCTCCGGTGGCGGCGAGGGGGTGGGGGAGGTGGGGGGAGGCGGCGGGGGAAAACCCTAGACTCCGCCAAGTCGCCCTAGGGGCAACACGAGGGACGGGACGGGACGAGGGCAAAGTCACGTTTTGCTTGATGTTCGTGTAACTAAATCTCATTGAGATATATCACGAATCTAGTATCAAATAACACGTGATAACCTTTGTTATTATTGGGTTAAAAATGCAACAGAGCCTGGTTAGAAGTATGGGAAATAAACATTTGATGAATTTGGAATTTGAAAACAGCAAAGAAAAAGGAAAAAAAAACTAGACAGAAAACCCGCTTGAAAAACCTGAAGAGAAGAGACGAAACAGAAAAAGAATAATCAACAAATGGAGAGAAAAATACCCGAAAAAAACAAATGGAGAAAAAAAAAAGGAAAACGGCCACATGGGCTGGCCCATGTAGTGGTGCCCGCCCTGTGCGACACCTGCCTTCTCAAAAAAAAGAGTTTAGGAAAGCGGGTTTTGACCGTATCCCTTCCGGCGAAATTTCAGCCAATCGATATCGACGGGTCTCCAACCAGCTGTTAACAGATATTCGAAACGCACAGGAGGCGTGGCCGACGTACCTGTAGAGGACGTCAAAGGCGACGTAAGCACGGGCGTGGCCGACGTGGCTGAAGTCGTAGGGCGTCACACCGCAGACGTACATGCTCACCTTGCCCTCCACCAGCGGCCGGAACATCTCCGCCTTCTTTGTCCTCGTGTCGAACAGCATCAGCTCCCTCTGCTGCTGCTCCTCCGACCCCGCCATCTCTCAATCTCTCAAGTCGAGGAGCGGAGGGGAGCCAACTATCCCGGGCTTATATCCTCCCACTGTCAAACAATTCCGCACACGGAAACGGAATCTTGGTCGCTACTCAAACCTAAACCGACTCACTCCAACGACCCCGGCCAAAGACTTCATTATTTTACAATGGAACGTGCAGAACAAGGGACGATACTAGTTGTATTATAGACGAGAATAAACAAGTGAAACGCGCAACTCTTCATTAATTGGCCTTTAGCAGGTGTCACTAATCAGTTCCGATAAGTGTTTCAGCTCTCGACGACTACTCTTTATTCGTCCAACACTGGCTCCGTTTGGAACATCGTCCGCACGATCAAAACTGTCAACCCAGCGACAATAAAATTACATCAAAGATGGGACTACACCCAAAAAATCCCCTAATCAATATGTTCCAGTTTGCTTCATATATCGTCCGTGTTCATGGCTTAGTAATCCATTCCACCCATGCCGCCCATGGCAGGAGCCTCTTTCTCCTCTTTAGGAACCTCCACGATGATGGCCTCTGTTGTGGTCATCAGAGATGACACACTGCAAGATAACAAGGCAAAACGTTAGTGCTGGTGCTCATCAAATATTGTTCTTACTAAGATACAATCAACTATCATGAGCATAAGGTTGTAGCCAGTAAGTACCTAGCAGCATCCACCAAGGCAGTTCTGATCACCTTCAGTGGATCAATGATACCGACCTTCACCATGTCCACATATTCACCTAGATGCAGAGATAATTACGGCATCAGTAACAAGACTCCGCTTGTTCAAAATAGGACAAGATCAAGCAAATGGTCAAGGACATCATACCTTTAGCTGCGTCATATCCAAGATCAGTGTTCTCTTGCTCCAAAAGCTTGCCAACAACAACTGCCCCTTCTACGCCTGCATTGCAAGCGATGGTGTACACTGGTGTCTGCGAGGTTTTTCAGAAATCAGCACACAGTCAAAAGAAATCAGGACAAAACAGATAATTATTTTCTCCCCAACCTTCAAAGCGTTCTGAATGATCTGCACGCCAATCTTCTGGTCAAAGTTTGCAGTCTGCAATTTATCCAGAGCCTTTGATGCATATAGAAGGGCAACACCACCACCTGCATAACCATTAAATACAAACCATATTCTCAGGACAGTGATGCTTAAGATACAAACTACAGGAGCACACAAAGAACATCAATTTTTGCTAGTAGTAACAATGAAGACCAAAAACTATTCAAAATAAGCCATATTCAGAATGTGCATGGTGCAGTACCTGGCACGATACCCTCTTCGACAGCAGCTTTAGTGGCATTAAGTGCATCTGTAACTCTGTCCTTCTTCTCGCTAACTTCAGCTTCACTGGCTCCTCCAATCTGTAGGACAGGTCAAAGTACACAGGTCAAAACAATAGAAAAGATATAGTAGCATGAAAGGAATCACCTATTACTACTATATTAACAGTCCATCAGCAATTCAATAGCATCCTCAGGCAGAGCAAGACATAGAATGTACTCCCTCCGTCCCAAAATGAGTGTCGCTGATTTAGTACTAAATTAGTAGTACAAATTTTATACTAAATCAACTGCATTTATTTTGGGACAGGGTACAGATGGAGCAATATCAGTTGCATTTTTATGTCAACTAAGAAACTCTTACTATAGCCAGTCTCACTCATTTTCAGTCAATATAGTACTGTGAAATGCTAGTCTGAGATTCTGAGATAAATAGGTAATGCTAACTGATAGGAAATAAAACAAGGAGCTATAGTTCTCTCTTCAATTTGCACGAGGAGCATGAACCTCACCTTTAGAACCGCAACACCTCCAGAAAGCTTGGCCAACCTCTCTTGCAGCTTTTCCTTGTCATAATCAGAAGTACTTTGCTCAATTGCAGATCTAATCTGTGACACAATATTCATGTAAGTTGCCATGATATATAAATAAGATACAATTCAATTAACAAGTCACGGCACATTAAATTGAAGTTGCATGAACCTGATCTGCTCTCTCCTCAATGTTCTTCTTGTCTCCAGCTCCATCAAGAATAACAGTGTCATCCTTAGAAACAGTCACCTGAAATGGAAGCTCATTAATGAAAAAATAATTTGATGAATATTGTAAGCTTACTATCAGAGGAATAAGGGCCAGTTCTTTTGAGTGGCTTAAAAATTAAGCTGCCTCCTCCCAGATTAAAAAATAAGCCGCACTCTAAGTTTGTTGAGACTTCTAAATTAGTTATCCCATAACTAGTTCAGAAGCCCCAATGATCAAGAGAGGCAGCTTATGGGAAAAGCTGGGGTGGGGGTGGCTCATTTTTTAAGCTGCCAAAAGAACTGGCCTTCAAACCTTGGGGCGAGAATTATTATCTTAAGAGCTTTGCAGCAAAGACAGAACAGAACATTTTGGTTAACAACCTCCAAAGGTATTTAAAAATGCTCATACATTTTGGTTAACAACCTCCAAAGGTATTCAAAAATGCTCATACTTCTAGTGATCATACCTTTTTGCATGTACCTAACATCTCCGGGTCAAAGTTCTCAAGGTTCATCCCAAGCTCTTCAGTTATGACCTGAATAATGAAATGTGCTGATTTCAGAAACATAGACGACTCACAAAAACATGGAGATATTCAATAACTTCCCAACTTACTTCTCCGCCAGTAAGGATAGCAAGGTCCTGTAAATTTGCTTTCCTGTTCTCCCCAAAACCAGGAGCTTTAACAGCACAGACCTGAATTCCACATCGATTAAGGACAACCGGCCATACAGAAGTCAGATGAAAAGGAGATTGAATTTACTGACCTTAATGCCTGCACGGAGCTTGTTGATAATCAGAGTGCCCAATGCCTCACTTTCTAGATCTTCAGCAACAATCAGTAGAGGCTTTTGCTTCTGTTGAGGACAACACATTAGTCACTATAGCAGCGAAGACCACTATGACAACAATATTGGTCAAGGTTTCAAGATTAGAACAAAAAAAGCACCTTCAGAGCCATCTCTAACACTTTAACTACTGCATGCATGTTCGAAACCTTCTTGTCATGGATCAAGATCAAGGGGTCTTCCAATTCCTGTGGGATAAAAACAGGAATAAAAACATTTACAACTGCAACACTACTATGATAAACAACAACCAAATTTTGAGACTAACAAGCAGCTAGCAGCAACGTAAATTAAATAGTACTTACACATTTCTGGGTCTTTTGGTTGGTAATAAAGTAGGGAGAGATGTAACCCCTGTCGAGCTTCATGCCTTCCACAACTTCAAGCTCATTATAAAGGGTGTTACCATCCTGCACATGAACGATTAAGCCAGGATATTACAAGCAAATAAGACTCGGAGCATTGACAGAGAAGCATCCAGAAAGTCCAATGGCCATAGCCCTCATGAACTTTCACTATCCAGAACAGTACAAAATCATGCATTACAAACAGATCTATGCACAACACAGATTGGGACTGAGACTTCCACACAGACAAAATATCCGGTGAATGTGTCACCTTTTCTTCTGATCACCGAGTTAAGATGACACAAACTCAAACTAAAATCACAAAATGCTAGAAAGAAAGTATACTTTAAATTAGCTCCACATTTCCCGCTAAGCACACGCACTGAGGATTGAGGACACATCCACTTTACTGTTTCATTTAGCTGTTTCTTAGTTCTTACAAATACAGGAATTTGTAATAGGCTCAATTTCTAGACTGAAGTTTCTGTTGAGTGCAACTCCTAGAAGTAAAACAGACTTATAGATGTAGAGTTATGTCTAACATTATCTTCTGCGCTCAGTGCATTGATTACGAGTCGAGGGACTAGTCGAGACTAGTCGCTAGACTAGTCTATGAGTCGCATTCTGTGTGTCGACTAGAAATCTCGTGTAGACTAGTTCGCCGAGTCGAGGAGTCGAAGGACTAGTCGTAGACTAGTCTAGACTAGTCGTGCACCTTGAGTCGTTCGACTCAATTTCTTTATTTTTTAGGGATTGGGAGGGGATAAGTGAGCCAGCCACCCTGCCCCTTTCCCTCCATTGCTTATGCTCTTCATGGATCTGCACTCCTCTGCTCTGGCCCTTTCCCTCCATTGCTTCTGCTCTCCCTAGATCTGCCCTACGGTCTCCCTCTGCTGCCTTCTGGCTACTGGATCCGCTCGTCCCTCAGGTTGCAGTAAGCAAGCAAGCATACTAGCAAAGTAATTTCTCCCTTCTCTTCTTCCCTTCTTTGATTCGATTTTTACCCCCTGCCCTCTTCTTTATTTCGTTTTGTTTGCTTCAGTTTCAAGATCCTTAGGTCTCAAGTGCAATGCCTATGCCGGAAATATCTCAAGTACTGTATTCAGCAGCTGCAGCTCAGACCAATGAGCAATATGATCCATCGAAGGATCCTGCAAGAAGCCAACTAGGAGCAAGGATCCAACATGGAAATATGCTTACTTGACTAATCTGCAGGACAAATTGACGCTCCAATGCACTTTCTATAGTATATATTACATATTAATACTAGGTTTTAGTAATTGATTACTGCAAGTTGTGAACTACAGTACCATGTCGACTAGTCCAGCAGTAGTCTAGACTAGTCACGATTAGTCTATGAGTCTCAACCTTCGAACGACTCATCGACTCGTCGACTCGTAAACGTTGGCTCAGTGTCAATATAGATCAAGTTGAACTGTATCTATGAACGGTATCCAGTACAGATTTGCACTCAAATAATTATTAGGGGAGGTTGTTTGCACTAGTATGCCATGGACCAAGAAACTGACTAGCTGTTATGCTAATGGATGGAAAAGAAAATGAAAGAAAAATAATAGGCCAGGCTACACATTATTGGTGAACATAGTTCTGGTAATCTGCTGCCTTGGCGCAGTGGTAAAGCTGCTGCCTTGTGACCAAGAGGTCACGGGTTCAAGTCCTGGAAACAGCCTCTTACAGAAATGTAGGGAAAGGCTGCGTACTATAGACCCAAAGTGGTCGGACCCTTCCCCGGACCCTGCGCAAGCG